ATTAAAAAAAAAAAAAAGTAGTCTGTCTTAAATGGAGGGAAGAGTTAATGGAATATAAGGTAACCACAACAGTGAGGCTGGGGTGGGAGGTTTAGTTCGGGTGTTGGGGAGGGCAATAAAGAAGGGAGAAGAGGTAGAAGAACAAGATAGATAGGGGACCACGACCACTGAGACAGGTTTGCATGACCTAAGTGGGACAGCGGTAAATTATGATGCATGCTCAACCTCGGAACAACAGGGCTCTGTGATACAGGGATCTAGGCATAGTTTGAAGAGGGTAAATAATATTAAAAAGCTTGGCTGTCTAATGAATATTGGTTTCCCTTGCCTTTTATAAAATAGACGTTTGAGTGGGATAGAAAGGAATGTTGGGGAACATGATTAGAGAAAACTTGTAAGCCTGTCTTCAGTCTATAACTGATTGGAATACCTAAAAGGGGTTCTTGAACTTGCCCAGTGAAATAGGCTTCTTGCAAAGCCTTTGCAGAGTACAGGACCTAAGGTGGAATCCTGAGTCCCATTCAGAACCTTATGAGGTGGGGCATTCCCACTAGAAAGGACAAGCAGATGAGCTTGGAACAGCTACAGCAATGGAAGATATTATCTTCAAAGAAAGATCATCAGGAAAAACCCAAAACAGAAATATCAGCATGACTGGCTACTACAAAAATAAGCAAGTTGTGCGCCAGGAAGCCAGCAAGGCAAGCAATCAAGTTCCTTCAGGACAAACTCCCCTATAAGACTCAAAAACTCAAAGAGAACACACAAACAGGCATGTAAGCTTGCTGGCGACCACATTGGTCTATTGGTGAGTGGAAGAGGAGGAAAGGCAGCAATGAAGAAACGGGCTGAGTTCAACCACAGTCCATTAATGCCCAGTGACCTGGATATGAAGAGAGAGAAAAGGGCTGGGTGGTCCAAAGTGTGTTGAGACCTGGGGATACCTGAGCCTATGGACAAGGACATAGCCACAGAGGGATAGAGCTGAAGCATCCAGCTTATATAAAGTGAGGGGAGATGCACAAGAACACCCAAACTTGCAGACAGTACCCATTTGACCTAGCCTTGATGGCTTGATAATCAGAACTCAATTAGAAGATTACAAATGCAAAATTTTTTTTTGATAGAGGAAACAAGGGCAAGTTGCTACAACCTGATGAACCTGATGTATTCTCATGGAGGTAGTAACTTGAAATACTACCAACATACAGGGAAGGAGTCTTCACATCAAGTATCAATGCTATCCCCTCTGCACACAGGGTAGATAGGGATGGGCAACTTAGACATTGGCTACCTAAACTGAGGGGGCGATAAAAGCACGAAGTACTGGTTTACAAGGTTTCAAGAGTGTGTATAGTTTAAGAGTGTGGGTGGGGGGAAAAAGAGACCCCACTGAATAGTTTTCATCTTGTCTAGATGGATCTGGTGAAAAGAGACGGGGATAAGATATGTTATGATTCAATAGTGAATAATTGTCATCATGACTAATTGCAACTGTCACAACTGTAAAGGTAGAAGTTTTGTAACAAAAACAGGGGAGTGGTTAATCTTACAGTCCAGAAAAGGAGGACCCTAGGGCCATCAAGGGACAAGAGCACAAGCAGAATGCGTGACCTTATCCAGAGAAGCAGTGACACCAGAGATGGAGGTAGAGATGGGGTCATGGAGAGGGGGAGCAGCTGATGACTCTACATTCATGGCAAGAAAAGGACTAAGAGCTGGTGGCCAGGAGGGTGACTTGCAGAATGTGCCCTTTAGAGGTGTAAATTATTATTTATGCCTAAGTGTTGGAGTTTTTTTTGTTTTTGTTTAAAAAAAGCTAAAGAGAATAGAGAGAAATACTTTTATCTGATGGTATATGGAGGGGATTATAATCATAGTAATGAAACAAGGTGTATGATTTGTTTAATGTAAAACTGATGATCTGCCCAGTAAACTTTCATTCAATTCACAATAAAAAACTTAAAAAAAAAAGCATGTAGCACAAAGGAGGCTGAAAAAGGCAAATAAACTCTATCTAAAGACAGGATTTGTTTCTTCCTTGCCCACCTTTGAGAATACAGTGAATGAATGTCAAGTGACTATAACCCTTTGGACTTCAGAATTACTTACTTACCTTTGTGAGATAAAAACCCTAGTGATTTATCTTTTCATGTAGTCACCTGAGGTTTTCCATGGTTCTTTTATCAGTATTCTTTAAAAGATTTACATATAAAGGATTTCTGATTTTATTATTAGAAGTTGAAAAAGGTTCTTTGCTAATTATATGACTTCAGTAAATTGTTTACCTTGAAACAAATCAGGCAAGTAAATTTCCAGCTGAAACAATATGTACTCAGAAAAGCATATCCAATATTATTATAAGAATTTAATTTTAAAAAGGGAAGCATCTTCCCTTTTTTATTGCAGAATACTACAAAGTATAAGAAATAGCCTTAACTTAATTATCTTGGTTGTTAGGATAGTTCAAAAGGTTGAAAACACTGGACTAGATGGCCTTCGTAATTCTAAAATTTCACTAATTAGATAACTTTTCTACATAAATATCAACACAATGATTATTGCTTACCTTTCTCAATATAATTCTTTGGGGCCCAAGCAGGATCCCCATCTGCATATGGATCATTATACTGAACTACCGCAGCCTCCTCATCTTCATAATCCACTGGAGGTGGTGGTGGCGGAGGCGGGGAGTCATCAAACATGGGAATGTCATCTGGTGGAGGAGGTGGTGGTGGAGTTGGACTATCAGCAACTGAAAGGATTTAGATAATTAATTTGAATCAGAAATTAGACTAAATAGAAATGCATAAATTAATGGAATTAAGAAAGCTCTAATTCATTACAGCATGCACTATTATAAACATGCAATTATTAGAAATAAAAGCTTGGTGTTAAAGCTTATGCCCAGTAGCATTTAAGAATAATTTTGTAACAATAAAATGAGCTAAAAATAAAGGCATCAGGAAGTACTATAAATCAATCAATGTAGGTGTTTAGGAGACAATGTGTCTTTTTCCTAAGAATTATTATAGGCGTAATTTCCTTATTCCAAGGCTCATGTCAGGACATTTTAGTGGCATTGAAATCATTCACTTTCTAAAAAGTAAGCCTTATGTCACATCTGTCATTTCGACTGCAATAATATTATATATTACTAACATGAATGGTCTGATAACCTTTTATTGTGCTCATCCATTTCCCTGATTTCTGCTTTAGTTAGGACAACTAGAAATAATTCTTTGGGGATGGATTTTTGTTTTATTTATTGCTGTTTGCTTTAGCAGACAGAAAGTCAGTGGTATTAGATCTGCTCCTGTGTAAAAGTTTTCTATATTTTCATTTAAATTTTAACAAGAAAAAATTTTAATTTAAAATTAAGTAATTCTCAACTAGCAAATAATCACATGAACTATCCTCTAAAATAAAATGTTTATATACCCATAATTTTTCATATAGATTTCTACAGCTAAGATTTTATATTATTGCTAGTAAAGCACAGGCCAGGGATGAGGGAAAGAGTAGATCATAAAGATCCAATTTTGTAAGCATACACCCATGATTAATATTTTAAAAATAACGTGTTGAAGGAAGATTGATCAAAAAATTAAAAAACTTAAATCATGCAAAAAAATCAAAATGATTGATGCTGGAAATTCTACATGATTGCAGTATGTGGATATGTACTTTATATCATGTAATGGATGCAGGAAAGGCATTCATACTATAAACATACTACCTCAGATGCCAATTTCAAAGCCTATTTATGTGAGCAAAAGAGGTAATACAGGTTTTCAACATTTATTGTACTCTAAATAATATGCTGAGAATATAAGCAAGGGGAACCAGATTTAAAACATTTGTGGATAATCCTTCTTCAATTTTGTACTTTCTATTGTATCCTCCTTGATTCTGTAATTTCTATTTTATCACTCTTGGGGGGCAAGAACAAAGCTATTTAATGACAAATTTTGAGTGGTGATGCTCACTCCAGTAGCTATCAAAAGGGTATACAATTTATTTTTCCACCAAATGCCTGTGACTATTTTATCATTTACAAAGCTTTCTATTATTATTAAGAGGAAAGGAAAATGAGTAGGACCGCATCTTGACATCAACAAGCCATAGCTCATACTCTTGGTATGGGTTAAAGCATATATCATATAAGCTTGTCTGAATCAGAAACTGCATCTACTCTTGATTTATAATAAAGTTATTAATTTGTTTCAACTGTCTATATGTCCAACTGCTGTGACTGTACATTAGCTTCTTTTCAAATTATGTACACAGTGGCAGGAGTTTCTCAGTATAATTCTCCATACAGGACAGTCTGTCTAGTACCAAGTTCAACAGGGCTTTTCGATACTTATCATAACCAGATGTAAACACATTGCTGATGTTCTAGTGCCTTACTCCTTCATATTTAAACACATTTATTAGTAAATTAACTGCTGCTGCATGTTTCACGGTCACCAATTTTGAGTGCCTTAAGAAACTAGATATTTGAGAGATGAAAGGGCATACAAATTTTATACTTTAAAATACTTTTTAAAAGCAGTGACTTACAAATTATTACCAACCTTCTTAATAAGCTTTTAAAGGAAATAAATTCCAAATAGTCACAGGAAACCTGTGACACAAGACTGACCAACACAAGTTCAGGAGGCTGGCAAAATAAACTCAAACAGTAAGGGCCTCTGAGGAAAAGACCAACACTAGATTTGTCTATAAAAAGTTACCAAAAAGCTAGTCAATGAGCTTTGAACCCACAAAATAGATGTTTCATTATGGCTATTTTTTAAAATTTACAAAAAACTCACAGGCTTAAACTCTTGCAGCAGTTTATTATGTTACGTGCCATCTGGTGTATCAGGACTCACAGTGTTTCCAAGGAGGTTTGAAACACTGACCTTGCGGTTAGCATCCAATGCTTATCCAGTAACACATTGGGTTTGGCAATTTCTCCTTATTCACTTTTTTTAAAGAAAAGATTAATTTATTTTTAACTATTTAAACATCAGTTTTCAACAGACCTTAAAAATAAAGATGGTGCTCACACTCGATTTCAACATTTTGAAACTACGGTTTGAATGAAAAGTCCATGAGATCATATATTCTTAAAGGTAAGGACTTTGTCTTAAACTGTTTTCATTCCTTCCAGAGCCTTGTACGTAACATCAAAGAAACAAATATTAGACTGGGAAGGGAGGAGGGGAATGGGGAGAGTAACACAATATGGATCAGCAAAAGCTGAAAAACAGAATTCCCCACTATAGTCTCCTGAGAAATGGGCTGGTCAAGTAGATTGCACATTAGTTCCAATCATTTTCATAATGATGGTAGCAAATGAAGCAAATTAGACCCCTGTAGCATCTTAATCTCAACAACCATTCTTGTCTAATATAATTTAGTTATGGAAGCATTTTTAATTTTACCTAACATCCACTGCGTAGTGGTTACGAATCAGGCTGTGAACCACAAGGTCAGCGGTTCGAAACTACCAGCGGTTCTGCGGGAGAAAGATGAGGCGGTCTGCTCCCGTAAAGATTTACAGCCTTGGAAACCCTGTGTGTAGGGTCGCTATGAGTCGGCGGAACCGACTCCACGGCACTTAACAACAACAACAACATCCACTACGATCATTTCACTAGGACTCACAGCTTCTGGCACCTCAAAGTAATCCGATAGTAAGATGACCTCATTTATCTTGTTGAAACCCATGTACTCAAAACAATTTCCAAAAGTCATTAGACCTGATGTTCATTTAGAGAAGATCTAAAAAAGTCTGCACATTTGCTTATTCAGAAATAATTTTTATGGGCCTGCATGTAGGAAAAACATGAAGAGGCCTTTAAATGATGATCATTCACCTTTAAAACAGTCAGCATGGATATATTTTACTTAATCTTGCAGATCCACTCTTATCCGAATAAGAAACCTCTACACAGGTTTGAAGCCTGACACTTTTTCTATAAATATTTTCTAATTTTAAAAGCCCTATACCAAATTGTATAACAAAACTTAATCTCACAGTATAACTAATGTATCTAAATAAACTTGTTGGAAACAAACTACAAAATGTTTTCTAATTCTTCTAATAACTATAAGAAAAGTTTCTATAAAATTTGAATTTTGGTGTTTGGCTATGCTTTCCTTAAGAATCTGCAAAGAATGAACTTCATGTTCTAGGCCATTTAAATGCATCAGAAAATTGCAGTTTGAAATTTATATAGGTCAGTAATCATGCACACAAGAGAAAAAAAACTGAAGGCCGTGCTCTTCAGTTTCAATAACATCTGCACCTGTTTTCAAGATTAGATTAGCTTCTCAATAAAGGTAAGGAAAATGATGACTCATCAGCCATGCATGCTCTGAGGAGACAGCCTCTACTCTTGAATAGCTCAGTTTTCCAAACTTACTGTTTTCCTGCACCCTGGCCACGAAGCCTGTGAGAGGTATCTGTGGAGTCAACTGAGGCATAGGGGGAGGGGGGGGAGCAATAGAAACTGGTAGCAACAACATGGTATGGGGGAAGTAAAACAGATAAAGGAAAGAAAAGGAAACAAACAAAAAGCAGAAGTCAGTTACAAGGACCACAAACATAAGTATGCAAAGAACAGTTTGCAAATAAAACAAAACAAAGCAAAGGAAAAAAATAAAAACAAAAAATAAAAAGAAAAGAAAAACCTACAGAATCTTCTTCAAGTTCATTTCCCATTAGCACACCTAGAGCTGCTTATGGTTGTTAACCAACTGGCTACTTTTATAACAGAACAATTACACTTAGTTTAATCCTATGTTTGGGAAGGTTTTTAATTTATCATCACATTCCCTTTCATGCAATGTATTTTTCAAAATTCTAAGGAAAAACTTTTTAAAATTAGGTAGTAATAGTTACAGGGGTATTGATGACGCTGTCTTTACCATGTCTATAACCTAACACATTTGTCTAAGCTTTACGGTAATGTTATGAATAAACTCAAATATAGTAAAGCAATAGCTGTTTCTAGAAAATAAATGCATTAATTACAGGTTTCCTTTAAAAACAACTCTTATTAATCTATATTTATATACACGTTTCCAGGTAAAGCCCTTGTTTGTAAAACAAGGTTATTTATTTTATTTTAAATAGACAATTTTTATTTGAACATCACTCTTAACTTTGCTAGGGAATAAGAATGCTCAATCTATCACATAATTGCTCACTAAGTTTCAGGGATTAAGATATTTCAAAAGTAGATTTTTTAACAGTTTAAAAAAAAGGAAACCTGATCACCAATGAGTTAAAATACGTAAGTATTTGTACAGAATTCATTTCTAATGGGTCACTGGGTAGCTTGAAACATACTCCAACTTCTTTCTGAGAAAGGATATAATTTGTAGGAAACTGATATCCAATGCTCATTGTGGGCAGCAAATGTATTATTAAAAATTATAACTAACTAGAATTCATATTCATATGGTTACCTCTTTGTCTTAGTTTGATAAGATAGTAATTGTAAAAGAATACTTTAAAAAGTTAAACTGGCTAGCAAAATTTATTGATAGTCACCAAGCAGTGACATTAAATACAGAGAAAATGAACCAAAAGGATGTTTTAATTCATCAAATGTACAAAATTTAGTAATTAAAATTTGAGAGAGGTTCAGTGTGCAAAGAAGCAATAACTTAATAACAAAGCAATACATGTACAGTAATATTCATATTATGGATAAAAACAACATTCAATTCGCTATCAAATTGGTCCTCACCTCATTCATTCAGAGAATTCTATATATAGAAGGCTCTTAGATAAATAAAAGGTTAGCGGTTTTGATTTTTAAAATAAAAATTAAAAGCTCCCACAAACCTAACAGTTTTTTGTTTTTTTTTTTTAAAACAACCCTCAGTAACTAGCCATGCTTGGTTAGTACATAAAGAAAGAGAAAAGCTATGCTATGAAGATACTAATCATTACCACCAGCACATTTAGACAGAGGGAAAATATGCACATCAAAACACTAAAAACATTTTACATACAATCACTACAACACCAACAGTGACTCAGATTGAAAGATAATTAATCTGACAAAACATAATTTATTTAAAATTTGAGACCAGATTTGCTTTACAACATCCAAAAGATTTAGACATTTAGTAATGAAATTGTGTTGAGAATAAACAAAACCACCAAGAATTGCTATAATAAAAGTATACAAACATGCATTAGAGATTCAGAGTCACTAAGATTCCTATTTATGGAGTAAATGAAATGTCTAAGTGGGGAAAAGAAAAGCAATGAACAGATAAAGGAGGGATCTAATACTATATCCGGATAGGAAAAAAAAAAACTTCATAAAACCAGTGATGCTAATAATGAGGTAATTTGTGGAATACTCAAATGTTGGTCTACTTTCATTATCAAAAGGAGACCAAGAAGAAATGTGAACTAAAATTCTAAGTTTGGATGAAATTTTTAATTTGGAAAAGGGTTGTTTAACTTTTGGGCTTATCTGTGAATTTTGACATTTTTGTAGAAGTTTTCAATTCTTTAAAAAAAAGTGTTACAACTGATAATTTACATTAAAAATATTTTATTTCATTATAAAAAATAACTTACACCAACTTCCTATGTAAATACGGAGATTCAGTGTTTTCAAGTAAAGTAGCATGAAAATATGTGCAGCAACTACAAAAGCTACATGGGAGTATAAATGTGTCTCAGCCTATGCCCAGTCATCAACGCTTCAAACCAATAACAGATACTGGACAACAGACTCATTTCAAATCTTTTCTCCCCTTTTTTTTGAATAAACCCTTCAGTATAGAAATTGATAAAAATGACTACTCAGCAATTTAGACTTCCTGACATTATATGCTGAAACTAATTTTTTTAATTGTAATCAGCTTTTAAACACTGACTGCAGTTAGTGCTGAGATGTGCAATTTGAGGTGAACAGAAGAGAAATCAAAAGAAAATCCTTCCCACTGGTTAAAGAGTTATTCAGACAGAGTAAGCAGGCATGAATAATCTATTTTAATAGTTTTAAACTTATTTAACTATAGGTTAACAAGTGATAGCCAGCAATTTTGTTTTATTATTTTAAAGAAAAATTTTCACAATGTTTCTGTACTTAGTTTTATCTGTAACATGCCAACAAATATTAATTTAGCTTAATTTATTTCGATGATATTTTGCTATAAGATAATCACTGGAGTGCTAACCACAAAAGACAGGCAATACAGACCCAGCAGCAGATCCATGAGAAATAGATGGTGCTTTCTGCTCCAGTATAGATTTATAGCCTCAGAAACCATACACAGCTCAATGACAGTGGTTTTGGTTTTGGGGTTCTAGTTCTACTAAGAGCAATTAAAATCCTAATGGTAATAAAAAATGTTAAAGCACCACTTCAATTTTATAGTATACTGAATATACCTGATAAATTTGAATTTTGGGGGCAAAAGTGATAAGCAATTATTCAAGGACTAACATTCAAAGAAAACATGAAAAAGTATGGTTTTAATTGCTGTCTATCACAGGCAAGATTAACAGTTTCAAATAATTTTGTTCAAAAGGAGCTCTATTTTTATATGCCTGCAAAGCACAAGCTTACTTGAATTTTGAGAATAAAGTGGACCTCCATTAACATGAGGCTGAGCAGAGAATTGAGCAGTCACAGAGGGAGTTCGTCTGTATCCACCAGAAGATGTTGAAGAAGTGGTAGAGTTGTGCCGAGATATCTGCCTGGTCATTGTGCCATACTGGGAACCAGGAGCTGAGCCCGGGGCTGCTGAAAAGCATTAGTCAAAGGCAACCAACAAAGAGACTTAAGCGTTGTAAATCACCTCAGATAGCAGAACATGAAAGAGGGCTCAAAGGAAAATATATTTTTTACTTTCTAAAAGCGCACAGCACAAAAGAAAAGAGAAAAATCAAATAGCTCTTCTGAAGTTAAAAACAGATACTGTATGGGAAGCTACAAAAGTAAATAAGTAACATTCTTAAACCTTTTTTAAGTAAACAGAATCCCAAATGTTATTTTGATAATATTAAGCATGACATTTTCCCTTTTGCTATGTCATTTAAAAACATACACTCTTCTCAGGAAGTCCCTGACTTACAAAAGGTTCCATTCCAACAACTTTGTTCTAACGTTAAGTAGAATGCTTTTTTTTTTTTTTTTTAAGTTTTCATTATTATTGCCCTTTATTATCAGTATCTTTAGAAATCCTCTATTTGTCTTGGGAGTTAAAAATATTTCATATAAACTTAGATATATTTTAACATTGTATTTAACATACATATTACTAATGATAAGATATATAAAAAGGGGAAGGGAAAAGGTAGTCCTAAGTGTGGGACACTGGAATTTGAATACGTTGTACATCAGGGACTACTTGTATCTATAAAATGTAAGCTGTGTCTTTCCAACAAAGTAAGTACCAAAAGATAGTCTGAGGGGAAAGTGTCAGCTTTTAGATGTGAGAGTTCATGATATCTGGTTTATAAATTTCTTCTTTTCCAATATAAACAATCTTCATACATTTAAGAATCTATCTAAACCAAATCAAGGTTAAGTTATAAAATTTAAACTGTTAATAAGTATATTGCTCACATCTATCATTATTTTTATTTGATTTAAATTTGTAATGATACTACATACTACAATCAATAGGAAAAAATGTTTAGTTTCAAAGAAGTTGTTGTTGTTGTTAAGTGCCATGGAGTTGGTCCTGAACTCACAGCAACCCTATGTAGGGTTTCAGATGAACAGCTGGTATGTTTGAACTGCCGACCTTGTGGTTAGTAGCACAGTGCTTATCCTACAGCACCAAACCAGAACTCCTTCAGAGCACTAAGATGTATGTAACATTACTATATTTGTTGCATACCTGAAACTTTTTTAAATGAATGTACATTTTCTATTATTGTTTCTTTAGTAACTGATAAAACTGAAGACATTTCTAGACTACGTAAAATACGGACACTTTAAAGCAACTTGTTCTAGAAAATCCATTATCTTTTTCCATTCTAGGAGGAATTCTTTTCCACATTACACGCAAAGCCTATCAAGTGTCTAACATCTAAACTGACCAAAGTACTAAAAATACTTAAAATTGTATTCAATGCCATCTTTATTAACATTTCAGAAGGTTAGTGAAGTTTAATGAAGGTTAAAAGAGTTAAAGCCTCTAAAGTTAACTATATTTATCAAAAGTTCACTTCTCAATTGGTATTATCTTTGTTGCCCACGCAAAGATACCAAACCATGATAGAGAAAGTAAAATGACAGTATTCTATATTATCCTTCATTTAGTTGTCTAACCTCTCCTAGAGGTCACACAGATTTTAGATAAAACTGTACAGCAGAGGTTGTTCATAAATAAGCATTGCTAATATTTAATATTTTGGAGCTCCCAAGCCATAGTCAGTCACTAATTGCTTTAAAATCATCCACATGGCCATTTCTCAAATAGAAGCAGATTTTAGAAAGAATAGCCAAATTAAAACCGTAAGTGAATAATTAATTTTAGATAGCTAGGTTTTACAGAAAACTACGCCTTTAGCCATACTGAATAGCAATCTCTGTCAAATGCGTTTTCCATTTCTCACATTTGTATAAAAAACATTTTAAATCTAAGTTATTTTTCTTGGTGATTCAAAATCAAAAGTTTACCAGTTCTAAATTATGCCTATTTGAAAGGTTTATAAGGAGAGAAATCATATCAGAGAGTATATGAAATTTAAAGAAAAGTATCAGCTCAAGAAATAGAAAGAATACTGAAGCTTCCTATATGTCCTCCTGGATCACAAACTCTATAAACTATGCCAACATACTCTTTCTTTTCTATATAGATCTAAGCTTAAATGACACAAAGAGCTTTGTAAATTTAAGAACCTAATAATGAAAAAATGTGATAGTAGTTTGGTGACTTGCTCCTTTCCCTTGATAATAATTTTCAGATCCATGCATGTCGATCATTCATTTTTATGGTTATTTGTATATGAATATACCATAATTTATTTAACCATCTACTGCTATCAGATACCTGGGTACATCCATATCTTTACTATTATTACTGCTATTACTGTGAACATTCCTAAACATAGTTCCTCAATTTCTCTAGGACAAGGATTCTCAAACTTGAGTGATCAGAATTTTACCTCGAGAGCATGTTATAATAAATAATTTGGGCCCCTTTCTACAGTTTCTGATTTCCAGAGGTCTAGATTGGGACCTAAAAACTGACATTTCTAAATAGCTCTCAGATGATGCTGATGCTGTTGGTCTAGGGATTGCAATCTGAAAACCACTGGTCTAGGGCAATGTCTTTCAAACTTTATAGTCTTACTGTCCAGTCTTTAAACCAGAGCACCCCAAAATGCTTTTGTTGATGTACGTTATATTTACCATATTAGAAATTAAAACTGACACATCTTTAAAACATATTAATACACAAGCACACATTACATTAGCCATTAGAGCACTGACTATCACATGTCATGCAGCCTTTGGACATTCCCACTCTATATTTGAAAAAAAGAATGAGAATGAAAAAAGGCATTTGCTGTCTTAGAACTATTATGAATATAGTTCTGACCTCAAAGATTACGTGAAAGGATCTAGACAACCCTCAGAGGCCTGTTTGCATGTTTTGAAAGCCAGTGCTCTAGGATAAATATCTTAAAATAATACTGATAAATCTATGACAGTACATGTTTATCTTCACTAAGCAATGACAAATCACTTTCCACAGTTGTTGTTGTTGTTAAGTGCCGTCGAGTCAGGGTTTCTGTACAGGGTTTCCGAGGCTGTAAATCTTTACATGAGCAGAAAGCCTCATCTTTCTCCCGCGGAGCAGCTGGTAGCATTAAGTGTATCAAATCCAGCCAGCAGTGAGCTTCCTGCCACTGCATAGCTTCACCAGTGTTTAATGAGACTAATGGGCTTTCACATTTTTTACTGATCTGGTATAAGGTAAATAGCTCATTGTGGTTTTAGCGCTCATGTTCCTCATTATTAATTAGGCAAAGGGCATTTTTTTCCTTTCTTCAAATAAACTCTCTACCAACAATTTCTATTATTATAGCCTTAAAAATATTTTCTTATTCCTCTTTTTTATTTGTTTATATTGTTGTTAAGTGCAGTCAAGTCAGTTCCAACCCATAGCAACCCTGTAAGGGTTTCCAAGAAGCAGCTGGTGAGCTTGAACCACCAACCTTACAATTCAAACCGACTTTGCAGTGCAGCTCATTAACACGCAATAAATGCCACACCACACGTTATTGTGAAAAGCTGTTGCTGTATAGTTTGGCTTCACCAAAGCTTGAAACTCAGCTCTCTTTACACCTACTCCTCACTTATCAACTATCTTGCTATCTGCCATTTGACATTTATTATAATAGTAGTAAAAAACCTACTGACTACTTTGCCCATTAATGATGCCAGGTGCTAGCCGAGTGTAACACAATACTGGCTATGACTGACATGATTACATGTCAACTTGACTGGGCCATGATTCTTAATGATTTGGCAGTTAAGTAACGACAGTCATCCTCCATTTTGTGACCTGATGTGGTCAACTTCCATGTTCCCAGATCAATTTCCACGTAATGACCCGGTCTTTGGAATCTCAACAACCACGTTGTTTAGTGAGCAATAGGTGTATTTGAAACACCTCATTATCTACCTCTATCCAGATTTTAATTGTTGCATTTTTCTAAGCTTAAGAGTTTTTATACTGCATCTATATTTGGAATTCCTTATGCATTCAATCCAGTTACCTTCATCTTGGGTATAATTTAAATGCATTTTATAAAGAAAACTGTTTCAGGCATCCTCGGGTATCATAAAACTGGGTTATATCAGTTTTTCACACTGTGATTCATGGGAGAGCCTCAACCCCAACACCACACATCATTTTCCCTTCCATTGTTCTTCTTCCTGTCTCTACCTTCACCCCAATTTCTTGACTGCTGTATATACCAAGGAGTTCCAAATCAAGTTTCAACTGAAAACAACAAAAAATAAGATTACATTGCTAATAGAAAAAAAAAATGTGAACAATCACTGCTATAATTTTCCTGGAAAAACCTAAACATACCAAAAAAAATCATCACTTTAAGTTGGTGATAAACCAAGCCCAGAAACATTTCACATTATACAGAGAGCTGTTTAGTATTTGTTTGCTGTGTAACTTCAGAGGCCTTTCATGAGAAGATATTAGTAATCAATTAAATGTTATCACCACCTACAACTTACTAACTATACAAGCCAACAGTCTACTAGACACAAAGGCATTTCTTAGGAATGATGCAGCATACATTCAATCCCTCCAATGGGTATGCAGTCTCACCTATCACAGTGCTCAGTGGGAGAAGTGCTGGAGCTTCAGAAGGAGGAGGGACAGAAATGTTTTCTAATAAAATAGTTTATAATTCAGGTCAGAGTGCAAGAGAGAACTTAACTTTCTGAAACAGTAATAAAGTACAATATATGTAAAAGAAAATGTGATATGCATATGTAAAGCATGTTCAAATAAATAAGAATTTCACTAGGTAAAAAGAGCATTGAGCTTATTAAACCTGCATATAAACTATGTCAACTATGTCTATAGTCATGAGTAGCCTTTTCTCCTTATTCAACAATACCCTAAAGAAGCTGAGGATTTTGCCTTTACAGTTTAATTATCACACTTACTTTTACATTTTATACTTTTTAATAGTGTAAGAAGTCTCCATTCATTTACGAAAATCAAGGGCTAACTGAATGTTCTGTGATGATTTCTAAAGAGTAAAAAAAATGCTTTCCATCTTAATCCCATATTTTACTCATGGCATTTCATTATTGTATCTATTGACTGTCATATGTAACAGTAGCAAAATCACAGGACAAGATAACAGCAGCAGTGAGATACTCGTCTAACAGGTAACATTAAAAATCTTTGAAACATTGGTCACATTACAGACACTGATCCCTTTGGTTGGAGCATTATACAATATTGGTTTGCTCTTGAGATAATAATGATCATTTCTAACCAGTGCCCAAAGCAACTATTTCTAGGGTGAAATGGCCAAAAAGTTATTTAAAAAATTATTTAATATACTTTACACATAAGGAAAAATGACTGGTAAAACCCTGAAGACTTTGTGAAAATCAAAAGTTTGACATTTGTTATTAGCCTTTATTCTAAACAAACACATAAATTTATCCAACATAACTTTAAACTATTTCAGCCTTTCATCGGGCATCATAAAGTTAAAATAGTGTTACACATTAAAATAGATTAATAAATAATGTACCTGGCCCAACAGTGGGTGGTGAAGGTGTAGGCACGGCAATGGGAATGCCAATACTGCTGCTTCCACTGTTCTCTCGACTGCCACTTCCTCCACTACTGCCACTGCAGAGAAGAGGAAAACTAAGGATAAAAGCAATTCTCAAGATTGATTTAAAAACTGATAATAAGGTCTCTAAAAACTACTTTTATCATGCATGTGCATACACACACACACATCTACACAAAGGAGCTTCAAAAAGTTCATGGGAAAAATGGAATTAAAAGATGAAAGTCTTCCATGAATTTTTTGAAGCTCCCTTGTGTGTGTGTATGTGTGTGTGTCCGTGTACAATGTAGGAAAAGGAAATTTATGAAGTGTTAATTATGAATCTTAACCGTAATAACTACTGGAGTAGCTCTTGTGTTTTACTTTACTTCTTATGATGATCTCTTCTAACAGTTCTGAGTACTATTATGATTACATTGGTCACCCTATATGAAACCAATGTAATCAGAACATAGTACTCAGAGCTGTCAAAAAAGCTCATCTATTTTTAAAAGAGTTGCTAATAAGAACTTACTGAGTAATACATTACCAATATAATTTTATAGTAGTCAACAAATGCTTATTTAGACAAGCACTGGACCACAAGGTCATCTGAATCCCAAGGTCGACGGTTCAAACTCACCAGCTGCTCCTTGGAAACCCTATACAGGGTTATGAGTCAGAACAGACTCAGCAGCACTTCACACCACCAACAAACAACAGTGAGCAAAGCAGACATGACCCACATTAAAATAGAGCTCATACATGAGCATGGGAAACAGACACTAAAACATTGTACAAAATGCTACTGAAGTAAATTAAATGGGAAAACAGTCCCTAGTCTGAAATTAACATGAAAACATCCACTCCCTCCTAAGAAAATGGACAAAACAGGGAAATTTTCTAGACAGTGAGTCTAGAAGCCTAAATGATACTAGCATTGTTTCAGGGTAGGGCATTTTGGAATCTTCATGACTACTAAATGCTAACCCACTCTCTACTCTTCTACTTGCCCTTTAGGCACAGATTTCTCACCATCTGGTTACTTTATATTAAATTCAAATTTCAGTATCCATAAATGCAATTTATTGGAAAAGAGCCATGTTTATCCATTACGTTTTGTCTATGACACCTTTTGGAGTCCTGGTGTGGTGCCGCAGGTTAATGTGCTGGGCTGCAAGGTTGAACAGCAAGATCAACAGTTCAAACTCACCAGCCGCTCCTCAGAAATCTTGTACAGGCTAGCTATGAGTCAGAAGTGACTCAACAGCACTTAACAACAACAACGACATCTTTTGCCCTATGACAGAATTGAGAAATTGTACCAGAAACCATTCGGCCTGCAAATCCTAAATTATTTACAATCTGGCCTTTATAGGAAATGTTCATTGATCCCTATTATAACAGACTGAACTTAAAAATCAAATGGTATCTTACTTATTAGTGTATTCCTAATATTTAATGAAGTAACTCTCAGTAACTGGTTATTTAATAAGACTAAACTATTAGAGAAAAATCATCCTTGCATCCAATAACTCAATAGAGCCCTGGTGTGGTGCTGTGGGTTAATACACTGGACTAAAAAAGTCTGTTTGAACTGCAAGGTCGGTGGTTCAAACTCACCAGTTTAGTCATAGTAAAGAAAAATCATCCTTTTGTCCAATAGTAACAAAATGGGGACAGAATCATTTTGATCCTCATTGAACTTAACCTAATAAACTATCTGAAAATACCAGCATAACACTTTACCTATAACAGGGCTTCAAAACGTTTGTGGAAAATGCAATGAAAAGATATTAGAATTTTTCCACGACCATTTTAAAGCCTCCTTGTACTAAGTCATAGCAACAAATATACTTAAGAGCTTGATTATACTGTATTTAACCAAATTAAAAATAATAATTTTGCTAAATTATCATTTACAGTTTACCAATCTAAAGATCAAGGCTGAGAAGTTATTCCCACCTAAGGTATAAAGTGAGAAATAAAAACTGAAGAATAAAACCAACTAAGTCATACAATAAAATATGTCTGCTTTTACAGAAGTGATCAAAAACTGAAATGATTACTTTAGGGGGTAAGACAATAATTGGAAAGGGGCAAGGGAAAGGGTTATTGGTAACGTTCCATTTTCTAATCTGGGTGATGGTTACATTGAGTGTGTTCAATTGGTATTATTCCATCAAGCTAAATACTTAATAAAGTATGTACTTTTCAAAATGTATAACCAACTTTTAAAAATCACCTATTAATTTCTAAAATGCTTTTTAACAAATTATAAAATATATCCTATTATAACAACTCCAGTAATTCTCCCTCAGATCTAAGTTAAATCTTCTTTCTTCCAATCTTTCACATTGCCTAATTTCTGTGACATTTAACTTTTTATCAAAAAATAATTAAGAGTAGTTGCCTTGTTGTTTTTTAAAAAATACTGTTAAAACTTTAGTCTTCATCCAATTATATATACTTGTACCTCTGTCAAAAGAAGAAATGCTAACAATCTGCTAATAGCATACATAAATGTAAAAAATATCTCAGACACGGAAATTACAGGAAAAATTTGTAGGATCTGTATATTATTGCCCTCCCTTTTTGATCTATGGTAACAACAGAGTAGTACTTTACCTTTACTCAGCACTAGTTTGTGAAGAGTTAAGTAACCTCCACTCTCATGTGTTCAAATGCTCAACCCCACGGTTTACCTGTGTGTCCTCGGTCTCTGATTTAAAGAAGCTGTCCTGCCTGGACTATGCTGACTTCCAAGCCTAGCAGGACTCGTCATGTAGTCATTAGGAACTGTTGGGGGTTTAACAGGTTCCAGGGTTTTGTAAGTAGTATTCCGTCTAAAGGAGCATAATAGAGAAAGGAATATTGGATAAAAGACATAACATGGTAGTTTCCCCCAAATCTGTGAGTCTCTCTTTGTGACCAAGCACAATACAGTAAATAATAATGATGACCAATTCAAATAATAAAAGTTAAAGTGCAATTTTAATTGGGATATGTCAATTTTGTTACTTTAATACAAAAACTAAAATTTGTTACCTTTTTTTTTTTTTAAGGTAATTTACACAGTTCCAACCTTACTTCCAAAAATAGTAGCTATAGTTTTTTAAATGCTTGAAAGTAATCAAACTCTGAAATGCACATTATTCTCATCTCAGTCCTGTTACCCATAAAACTACTCAATCACCCAGAAGTGAAATATCTTCCTCTACAATTTATTCCTACCTCAATACAGAAACATGACTAAGTGTTTTTTTAATCCTAGGTCCTGGCTGGTGCTGTAGGATTAATACTGAATTGCCAGGTCGGTTTGAATCGTAAGGTTGGAGGTTCAAACCCACCACCCACTACTCTGAAATCCTATTAAAAGTCACTATGATTTGGAATAAACTTAACAGCACTTAACAACTACTTGATGCCATTAAATTCTCAATAAATGTTTTTAACCTTTCTATTTAATAACTTCAGGTGCTTTTTCACTTACAAAATGAAAATTACAACTTGGATACTCCAAAAAAGTTTATTGCTGATCCCTGTTGCTACAAAACAACAATCCCATAACAAGAAATGTAATATTACAGTTTCCATGTTAAGGTGAAGAATCCTTCAGAAATGCCCCACCAAGCACTCGGCATTTCTATTATCATAGGAACTGGAGAGGAAGAAGCCCCAACTGTTACCTTTTCTACTTCTCCAATTGGCCTTCCCACTCTAGCATGAAGGGGGCCTAAGCCTACAAGCAGAAGCACAGTTAGAGGCACTCCACAAAAGTATCCTTAAAGTCTCAGGAGCCAAGTAACAAAGAAAACGGAAGACCTGCAGGCCAAACTACACAAAGTAGACCATTTATTCAAAGTTCTGGAACACAGAGATTGTAAACACATATGAAGGCACCACATGAATCCTCTGATCATACCATCTGAAATAAACTGAAGCCAAATTTATACTTTAAAAGATAAATTATAAGACAGAAAATAAATAATACTCATTTACAAATACATAAAAAGGACTTTTCTAGCACAGACTTCTATAGAGAATACTGTGAAGCAGGCATTCATTCTGGATTCTGTTCAAGGAAGTAAGAACCACAATCAATTTGTAAAAGGAGTGTCACATGGAGAGGGTCCCAAGGAAAGGGTCCACACATCTACTTACATCACAAAAATACCTTTTCCTTTTAAATTAGCTTGTCAAAATGTCATTGAATTCTTACCCCAATGTTCCCCGGCCTGACATGGGAGGACTTGGTGGTTTCTGAGTGGGAGGATTTGTTCTCGACAGTGTGCCAGTTCTTGCAGGCTGGTTATTTCCATGCTAAAATGTGGAAAGGAAAGCTTTTATTTTTATATCAAATTGTTCTCTTGGTGTTTTGACACCACGTATTATTTTTTTTTAATATCAGAATGTGAAGTGAGGATTCCCAGACAGTTTTAATGCAGACTTTAGTACTACATTTTAAAGATAACCATTTGCATTTGGCTTTCCTATTTTTTTGTGCAATTCATACCAACTTATGGCAACATATAGGTGAGATGATTGAATTTTAGGTATAATTTTATTGCTAAGCAAAAGCTCACTGAGATAATTATCTACATTCAAATACTGGGTTTCATCAAATGTTTTGGGGGAAAGAACACAAAGCTGAAGCCTTTGCCATTGAGCTGATTCTGACCTAAGGTGCCCCATGTGTGAGAGTAGGACTGTTGCACAGGGTTTTCTTAGCTATAATCTTAATGGAAAACAAACTGGCAGACCTCTCTTCTGCAACATCACTAGGTGGGTTCAAATTGCTAACCTTTAGGTTAGTAGTTGAGACCAAACATCTGTGCCACCCAGGGACCTAGAACAAACTTTTATGAAAGGTGTACATAAATATAAACCACAGATCTGACTATGTGTTTAAAAATTCCATCTCAAGAATCATCCATATTTTAACGTGTAATAAAGTCACATATGATGTCTGGGAAACCTCCTAATTGTAAGTCAATAAAAGCAAGGCAACTATAAAAAAATGAGTGAAGCAATAAATGTTAGCAAAATTAATGTTCCTATATAAATGCAGATGTCAATATATCTTTGATATATTAACACATCCAAGCCTGAATGTTGCTGATTTGAACTGAGTTTGCATATATTCAATCTACATAAATCCTATGGGGAAAAAGCAGACAGACATACAAAGAGTTTTCAGTTTTAGTGACTCTGCAGTCTACCAATATAGAGGGGGCACTGTGGATCAAAGGATAAATGATGTCTCTTACCTTGGCTTTTAGCCACTTTACGTTGGCAAAAAAAAAGGGGGGGGGAAAGTAGAAATTAATTCTAAATAAATTATATCTGATAGGACAGGTTTACATTTATAGTTACTCAATTCATGTTAATTAGATTTTATCCAGTCATATTTTAAATATTTTATAAAGAAAAACATATACATAAGCAGTAGAGAAGTACTCATGTGTTTCACATATTTTTTTAAAAAAAGTCTATTCATAAGAAAATCACCAGTTAATTAAGCCAGTAAATACAGGCCCAATAAGGAATTAATTTAATTGAATCATGTGTTATTGTTTTTTAAAATATGCTTTGATTTTGACAGCAACACCATAATACTTTAGATGTTGTTATTTTAATACATCAATGTACAAGATACCTAAGATTCTGTTGGCTAATATATGCCTAAATAAGATTATTCATTACTTGAATGGTAGTATGCCTAACTCCTCATTTATCGACTTTTGAGTTATCTGTCAGATATTTCACATTTACAATAGTCAAAATCTACTCTTTTTTTATTTATGTGCATTTAAGACAACATATGGCAGTAACCACACCCGAGTCCACCAGCTGTGATGAATAAAGCTATATGTCAACTTGGCTGGCCCATGATTCTCAGTGGCTTGGCAGCTATGTAATGACACAGTGATCCTCCATTTTGTAATCTGACGTGGTCAAGCTTCAGTTTTCTACAATGCCCATTTTCACATAACAACCTGGTCTTTGGGATCTAACATGTCAATAAGTGAGAGTCAGTGTAAGGATTTTTTATTAAAGTGATAAACTGTAAATGTTACAATTCAAAATCACAGGTTGCTTTCAAATCATAAAGAAACACAGCACCTTGTGCTTAAAAACAAAACCCACCAGGCATAGTAACAGCTTAGCCACAAATAAATATGCACAGTCTGAACAACCTCCTCATTTCTAGCTTATAAATCTAAATCCTAAGGCTGATTTAGTTTTCAGTTTTGTTTTTAACCAATTCAGTCAGGATTCAAAATTGAAAAACTGCTTGTAAAGACTACTTCCATTAGAGATGACTGACTATAAGCATGAAACGACGTGTATAGTCCTTGTGCATCACTTGTACTATCCCAAATCATCAAATAGATTTTAACTCATGGTTGACCCTGTGTTCATAGAGTAGAACTGCATTTCCAAAGAGTTTTCAAGGTTGTGACTTTCAGATGCAGTTCACCAGGTCTTTCTTTCAAAGCACCTCTGAGTAGATTCAAGTAACCAACTTTAACTTTATGAGTCAAAAGCTTAACCATTTGTACCACCCAGAAACTTGTAATATAACACTCAAGAAAAATTATCTTCAGGTTCTGGAGTTCATGTTTATCTTCATAGAGATTTTTTGTTTGTTTGTTTCAGGTTCTTTACATAACTCTGCCATTCAAAATATGTTATCTATCCTGTTTAGTTGTAAAATGCCATCAAGTAGGTTACAACTCAAAGAGACCCTTTATAGGGTTTCCAAAGAGCGGCTGGTGAGTTTGAACTGTCAACCTTGATGTTTAAACCTAGAGGAATTTATTTTGCTTTAAACATTTTTCATTCTTGAAAACTATAACCACAGATTTTTATTTTAAAACTTTTGTTTAGAATAAAATTGGCTCATTTTTATCTGAAACAATGCATGAAACCCTACCTAGTCCTTTTATTTCACACCTGGATTTAGACAACTTGAAGACATGAAACACTAATGTTACAAAGTTTTACAATGCATTAAATACTATTTCATAGTAACTTACAAAGTTGAAATTATTACCACACATTTTCACTCATTTGTTGCTTAACATGAACCAGAAACAAACAAACTAAACTAGCATTCAAGCAGAAACTAATTCCAAATAAAAGAATGAAAAGAGAATCCAATTAGGAATTGAAATTTTAGTTGAGCTCTGCCACTATGTAATGCTTGGATAAATTTTAACTTCTTATGGTTTAATTTACTCTCAACTGAGTGTGTGGAGCCCTGGTGTGACACCATAGGATAAGCACTCAACCTCAAAGTCAGTCTGAACTACAAGGCCGGTGGTAGAAACTCATCTTATATAGGATTCCTATAAGTCGGGATAGTCTCTAATGCACACAACAACAACTGAGTGTGTATTTGTGTGTGGTGATGTATTGAGGTGAGAGTGTGTTGTAAGAAACAATTTGTATCTTTCAGCCCAAAATATTGTAATTTTTAGTAATTAACAAGATTGTTCAACTTAAATTTCCCCAAAATATCCAAAATCAGATGGTTCTTTTTAATTAATAAGCTCTCACTTAATTTCTTTAACATTTATGTTTATGGATGAGCAATTTTACCATTCATTCTCCTGTAATCTTTGATTAAAGGTAACAGAATTCTCTGATTCCTCCCTATATTTCCACTCATAAGTAAATCATAACCTTTGCACACTACAGGTACTAAATGTTTGCTGCATTGTTCAAAGGGCAATTCTTTGTTTGAAATATTCATTGGCTTACTCCTCTAATTTACAAAATAGAAAGCTTCTCCAAAATATCTTTCCATAGTACATATTATAAAACTTTATTGTCTCTATTATTAAAATGTAAGTCCTGGATTACATGGTCTTTATGAGGACTGAAAAAACAACAAATACAACTAAGAGTCCTTTGTAACTTATAAACCAGGCTATAAAACTGGTAATTATTACTACTGCTTATCAAAACTAAATTTACACTTCTCTACTACATATCTGACTCTTCTGTTCTAGCTTACTCTGAATATTTTATAAAATTTATCTTTCCATTCTCCCTTATGTTCTAATACTTTCTCTATCCTGAAATTCTGTTAGTAAGCTAACATTATTTCCAAAACTCAAACCAAACTTCCTTAAGAAATTTTTCATATCCTTAATACCTACTAAATTATGTGTATCACCTATCTTGTAGCATAAAACACATTAGCACAATAAATACTATTTAAATGAAATTCAGATATATCAAATATAAACATAAAGTAAGAAAATATGATGGAATAATAGTTCTGTACTGGGAAAATGCATAATGTTCCAACTTGACATATTACTTCCTGCATGGAGGTGAAGAGGACACAGAAACTGTCTCAGAGACACTTGGTCAATGCCATCAATAAACTCCCCATTCTATCAGGAACCCCAGAAAATTCAAAATGCAACTGATCCAGCAATATCACCAGTTAGATCAATCAGCCAGGAAAAACTTCAAGATTCTAGCTGACCTTTTAAAAATTATTTTAAAATATTCTGCAGACCACAACACAAACTAAATAAGGGTCCTCTAGAGAAGACTGACCTGTCAAAGACTTCAGTTTGCTCAGATCAACCATCAACACTCATGAAAGCAAGCAACAGTCAGGAAATCAAACAACATACTGGTTAGATAAATATGCTGCACAAGACCTCTTTAAAGAGTTCAAGAGCAAAAAATATCAGGTTGAGGGACTACGGTGCACCTAACTCAAACCATGGAATCTTCAATAACCTCATACGCACGTGAAAGCTAGACAGTGAATAAAGACGACTGCAGAGGAACTGATGCATTTGAGTTATGATGCTGGAGGAGAGTATTAAAAATACTATGGGTTTCCAAAAGAACAAACAGATCTGTGTTGGAAGTACAGTCAGAATGCTCCTTAGAAGTCAGGATGGCCTGACTTAGTCTCTCATACTTCTGACATATTATCAGGTGGGACCAGTCCCCAGAGAAAGACATCATGCTTGGTAAAGCGGAGGGTGGTCAGAGGAAAAGATGAAGACTCCCAACAAGACAGAATGACACAGTGGCAGCAGCAATGGGGTCAAGTGTAGAAACGATTGTGAGGGTGGCGCAGGACTGGGCAATGTTTGCTTCTGTTGTGCGTAAGGTAGCTCTCTCTAACCCAGTACCAACTCGACAGCACCTAACAACAACAGAAAAGAAACCACCACACTTAAGAGGACTATTTGATTCTAGGCAGACATGGTTGAAGAATTTAGGTCATTACAGATACATGCAAAATGACCCATCAATACCAAAAAGTTGAGAGATTCTAAATCTCTGGGCAAGCTGGTGGAGTAAGCAAACGCAGTGAGAGCTGACCCTCTGAATCTCCACATGGGAGACTGAGTGAAACAGATACAGATGGGGATCCTGGAACTCTGAGTATCAAGGTTAGGGCAGAGAGATGGACTCAGTGCCCACTGGAAAAGGAAGCTCAACAGGAGCAGTAAGAAAAAAGAAAACGGGCTGGCTATGGGCTGGTGTGGCACAGTACAGCCATCTTGAGCACCTGCAAGCAGCTAATGATACGGCAACCTGCAGGCAACATGGCACAACTGGAGGCTGGTGGCAACAGGGTGCAGTTCTTCCTTGTTACCATGTCCTCCTGGTACATAGGGTGGGGGTGGGGGTGGGGTGATGTGGCCAGTCCCCGTCCTCATCAACCCAGTGGCCAGTGGCACCTGAGCTCCTGCACAGCCTCTGCTTTGCCTAGCATACAGCTCCTACTTCTGGAAGTGTGTGAATCTGCCCTTAACTACACAAGCAGCCAACAGAGAACTGACTGTGTTCACACTTTTGGGCTTTACCATACCCACCAGAAGACAGGTGGTAAGTGCCTGAGAATGTATCAACATACAATCATCAACTAAATATAAATACCACAATATCTCAGAAAAACAGACAATTTTAGTTTACACAAAGAGTGCCTCAAACACTGACCAAAATACAAAGTTAGAAAATATAACACCAGAAATGGAAATGGTATCAGAAATACCTAAGAAGAAATTTTAAAGAAACTTCAATAGACTGAGGGAAAGATTGAGAAAACTACAGATGAAGGAAAACAAACAAAACTATGGGGAAAAAATGGCGAAACAAATTGACAAACTAATTAAAATAATGGGAACCATACCAACTCAGCAATTAAAAGCCAAAAGATTAACACTAAGTCTTCATAAAAAGATAATACACTGAAAGAGGAAAGAATGATTTGAATCAATGTAAAGTCAAATTACTGAGCTTGAAGAAAAATCTCCCAATAATAATCTGCTGCCAGAGGAACAATCAGAAAAAAAAACCCGAAGCCTAAAATTTATGTGGGACAAGAGGAATAACACACATGATAGGAATTCCAGAACAGAAACAGACACACACACACACACACACACACACACACACAATACAGAATATTGTCCAAGACCTGTTGGAAGCAAACTTCCTTTGTTGTTGTTAAGTGCTATTGAGTCAGTTCTGACTCAAAGCAACCCTACACAGGGTTTCCAAGGCTATAAACCTTTGTAAGAGCTGAGTGGCTGGTGGACTTCCGTCACAGCATGAGAAACCATAAAAAGCCATTCAAGAAGTTGAGCAAACTCCAAACAGGATGGTGGTGGTTATGTGCCCTGGAGTCAGTTCCAACTCATAGCAACCCTGTATACAGTTTCCAAGGCTGTAAATCTTTATGGGAGCAGAGAACCTCATCTTTTGCCCGCGGAACCACTGGTAGTAGTTTTGAACTGCTGACTGTGAGATTAGCAGCCCAACTCCTAATCACTATGCTACTTGAGTTCTTTTAAACAGGATAGACACCAAAGTGAAAATAAAACATATTATAACCAAATTTTTCAAAACAAAAGACAAGGAAAGAAACCTAAAAATAGCTTAGGAAAAACAAAAAGTTACCTACACAAGAGAACTAGTAAGACTAAAACTGATTTCTCACCAGACACCATGCAGGCAAAAAGACATGGAAAGACATGTAAAACTCTGAAAGAAACAAACTGCCAACCAAGAATCATATAGCCAGCAACACTGTCCGTCAAATATGATGGCAAAATTAGGTCATTTTCAGAAAAACAAAAATTAAAAGATTTTGTGAAACCCAAGCCAACCTTACAAAAAATACCAAAGGGAGTTCTTTGGACAGCGAATCAACAACAGGAGCGAACAACCTGAGACTAACATATACAATAATATCACCTAGATTCAACCCAGATATGGTGGTGGCTGTGTGCCGTTAAATCAGTTCCCACTCATAGCTACCCAATATAGGGTTTGCAAGGCTATAAATCTTTATGGGAGCAGAAAATCTCATTTTTCTCCAGAGGTATGACTGGTGAGTTCCACCTGCTGACCTACAACTAGCAGTCCAACGGGTAACCCACTACGCTACCAGGGCTCCTTCAACCCAGATACAGAAGTATGCCAAGTAAAATAAAACTGTACGATGAAAAGACAGAACCAGAGTTACAGCTGCAACAACACAACCATAAAGTTAAAAAGGGGGGGGCGGGGAATAATCCAGTTATTGAACTTCCAAACGAAGAGGAAATTAAATAGACTTCAAATAAATAAAATAAAAATCTAAATCAAGCTTTAGACCATCCCTCACCACTAACACTACCCCTAGTTCTAACCAGAACACTAATAATAAATGAAGTCCTCAGCAAAGCCAACACCTAGCCACAGTTCCAACCCTAAACCTTAGTCTTACCCCCACCCCTCCAAAAAAAAAGTCACCTAATTGCACCATTCTAAGAAACGGACATTGGCCACAAATAATCCTTCTCCCTGAAAGTCTGCAGAGGTGTGTGTGTGAGGGGGTGGACATGTATAGCATAAAACTAAATACACTTTACATTTTTCATAAGCCACTGGAATTATATGCATACACACAGACATAAAAACATAAAGGGGGCTTCAAAAAGTTTGTGGAATGTCTCCATTTTTTTCATGAACTTTTGAAGCCCCCTGGTACACATATTTAAGAAGATAAATACAAAATCTATCTATAAATAATATTCTAAACCAATTCTGAAAAGCATATGCTTTTTTTTTTTTTTTTTAACTTTTAAGAGATAATACCAGAACATAAAATTGTAATACTCATCTAGGATTCAAGCAGCCAATTTAATATTCAAGTTTTACTAATTTTCTAAAATATAACTCACTCCACAGATAAAATTCACTCCAAGGTTAGTATAAAACATAACTAACAAATGTTTAATATGTTTACTAAAACATATTTTGAAAATCATAATACTAGTTGCTAACTAATGATAATCTACTAAGAAACTTATCTTTATCACCATCTCTCCTACACAAAATAATTATTCGATGTGCAAATTCCTTCCCATGAATGTCATACAGAAGTGCTTACCTTGACACCATGGCCCACATCATCTAGAACCGTGTAGTCGATAGGTTTCCGAATATACCTTACAGGGCGCTCCATATTTGCAGGTGCTATTATTTTGTGAGTTCTTGATGTATTCTTATTTGTTGTCAAAATACCAATCTCTCTTCGAGCCACTTTCTCTTTATGAATGTCCACAGTCTGTATTTTAAATTTGAACAATGCAAGAAAATATTATTTGGCATAGGAAATAAGATAGATATATGATGTCGCAAGTAGCTTGGACTGTAGGCCTATACCCACATGTCTATTTTTCAGTGAATACTTTTGTCTTTCACTTCAAAATCAAGCAAATTATCCTCAAGGATCAAAGCAGAGAATATCTGAAGATGATTAAAAACACAAACTAATTTAATGGATTTAATTCTAAAACAATTCTCAGGAATGCAGTCTTATTTCCTAAAGACTTGGGGAGGGGGTGGTGCAGCTGAAGGAAGACAGGTTTGCTCTACTGAGGAACTTACATTTTATTTAGCATCAAGAGATGAGAAAAAATAAGCAACTACAATGAGTAAAGTGCTGTAGTCACATATGCACAGTTTACTTGAAACTATAAAACTGTATGGATCATAACAAACTATGAATTGTTCTGTAAAGAATGGGAATACCAGAACACCTAACTGTGCTCATACAGAACCTGTACCCAGACCAAGAGGCAGTTAATCAAACAGAACAGTGTGTGTCAGGATTGCATCTTTTTACCATACTTGTTCAATCTGTCGCTGAGCAAATAATCTTAGAAGTCGAACTCTATGGATTGGAGGAAGACTCATTAACAAACAACCTGTGAAATACATATGGCATAGCCTTGCTTGCTAAAAGAGAAGAGGACTTAAAACACATACTGATGAAAATCATCAAAGACTACAGCCTTTAGTATGGACTGCACCTCAATGTAAAGAAAATAAAAATCCTCACAACTGGACCAATAAATGATATGATAAACAAAGAAAGGACTGAAATTGTGAAAGACTTCATTTTGCTTGGATCTACAAACAATATTTATGGAAGCAACAGTCAATAAATCAACTGACGTATTGCATTAGACAAATCTGCTATAAAAGACCTCTCTGAAGTATTTGAGGGCAAATACATCATTTTGAAAACTAAGATGTACCTGACCAAAGCCTTGGTATTTTCATTTGCTTCATATGCATGTGAAAGATGGATAATGAATAAGACCAAAGAAGATATGATTTATTTGAATTATGGTGTTGGAGAAGAATACTGAATATAACATAACATGGACTTCCAGAAGAATGAACAAGTCTTTCTTATTTGAATAAGCACAGCCCAAATGTTTCTTAGAAGGGAGGATGGCAAGACTTCACCTCACATACTTTGGGCACGTTATCAGGAAAAAAGTTCCTAGAGAAGGATATTATGCTTGGTGAAGATCCTCAACAAATTGTACTGACACATACATACAGCAATAATTGTGAAGATGGTACAACACTACATAGTGCTTCTTTCCAGTGTACAAAGAATCACTATGAGTCAGAACTGAATCAACAACATCAAACTTTACTGAGAAGGATTCACTTAAAGGCTTTACAGTGTAGGTAAGTTTTAAAGGATGAGTGGCAGTATAAGAGACAAATATGAGAATTATTCAAGGCAGCAAACACTATAAGGTAGACAAAGGAATGAGAGAAAAGATTACAGAGTAGAAACATATGCCTACAAACCTATCTTGGGGAGCCTACTCAGTATTGGCCAATGCAGTGTTGTGTGTGTGTGTGTTTTAATATTGTCAACATTTCAGATTAGATGTGATGCAAAGACTCAGCTATGGCACTGTGAGTGAATGCGCTAGACTGAAAAGTTGGTTTGAACTGTAAGGTCAGTGGTCCAAGCTCACCAGCTGCTCCTCAAAAACACTACAACACAGGGTGGCTACAGGTTGTAACCAACTCTATGGCACTTAACAACAACTAACAGAAAGGCTGGTGGTTTGAACCCACCCAGTGGTTCTGCATGAGAAAGACCATCTATAGAGTATTTCCACTCTGTTACATGGGGTTGCTATGAGTCAGAATAAACTCAGTGGTACCACCAACAACAACAACAGTAGCACTAAGAGCATTATATGGCATTGTTGACAATTTAAACTTTATTCTACTAGCAACTGGGAATCAATAACTTAAATTGAGTGACATGATCAAATCTACATTTCAAGAGGATTACTCTGTCAAAGGTGTTGCAAACAGAACAAGATCACATGCAGTAAGACAAAATAGGAAGCAATTGTGATAGTCCAGGTAAAAGAAATAGAGCCCTGTTAAGGTAGTGGGTTAGGTAGGCTGTAAGGTCACACTGTAGGCTACTATGTAGGGTCACTATGATGAATCAGAATCTGCTGGAGACAGTGGGTTTTTTTATGGTTAAGTGAGAGAAAGTCATATCTAAACTGAAGCAGGAAAAATAAAGATATTGTTAGAAGAAAATCAGGCTTAATGTTATATTTGAAACAGATGTTAAGATTCTGCCTTATTTCACCAGAATTCAACAAATGATTGGAAACAACCTGAAATCACAAATGTACTCCCATCTTCTAAACAAGTTGTAGGGATACAACTCTCCATGTGTGTCTTAGCATTTCTGCAGTTCTTTTAAGAAGAGATACTGATTCCCTTATTTCAGATGCCAATAAACTAAATAGTCTAAAATGAGAGGAAATGTCTTCCTGGAAAACAAAATCAGCAGATGAAGTCTCCCTTCAAGGCAAAGGTCAGAAAGGCTTGTTGTCCATTCTAAGAGGTTTTGGTCCCCTCCCAAGCTCGGTCGCTCTCCTGTAACCCGTAATGTACCTCACTGTGTATGTAGGTACCACCTGCCTCTCTGTGTAGTACACTCTATAAACCAGGATTTTGGTCTAGTGGCACAAATATTGATATTCTGGCTAATGCTGCTGCCATGAGTAATGAAGTCCTTTGTCTTTGATCAAGGAGTGTCTTATCTTCTGACAGGATCCATGAAACTGTGGCAAGCTATCTTATTAGCCTTAAAAAGGGTAAAAATTTCAGACCATTCCCAATTGGTGACAGTTTTCACAATGAGGATAGAATACTGTCAGAGACAACACTTTCTAGAAAACGAAGGGAGAGCTGGTTAAGAAGATTTCAGAGACGTCCAAAAGAATTGTTAATGTATATGTATGATCAACCAGGCAATTAATCATCTTCTATTTTATTGCTTGTTAATGAATTGAGGAGGTTGTTTCAGCATAAGTACCAGAAAGAAGGATCAAAGACAGCTGCCTGAATGATGCTTGGTTATTGCCAGTCCTCCTCCAGATGGGAAGACTTCCTCACCAAGCTGAAAGTCAACCTCAGTAATTATGCCACAGTGAACAATTAGTACCAAGATTTGTCAGCAGAGGGGTGATCTGTGGAAGATTCTATCCCTTTTCAGACAATAGTTACAATAATTACAGACACCTAACTCTTACACTGAGCATAAAAGGAGGAAACACCACAACCACTATGGACAGAACTAGGCAAATCTTTAGAACTTGGCTAGTTTGCTTAGGACAAGATAGGCACAGCGTGTAATACAACCTATCATGTCAACATTAGATCCATTCTAAACCAAAACCACCAAATTCACTTCCATTGAGTCAATTCCAATTCCTGTATGACAGTAAGAAGCCTACGTGCTTTTTACAGTGGGACCTAGCTACTATGGGGAAACTTCAGCCCTCTTGGAAATTTACCTGAGACAAGCTCCTATGGAGCTTGACTTATCTTCCTAATCTTATTCAATTGGATTTAAAATGCTCATGAGGGTAATTTGTTGAAGCATGAAACTAACCAAAGAAATCTTGATAAATTCTTGCTCTAAGTCTTGAAACCTTAAAAACTCACCTCTTATATTAAAGTCAAGTAACAATTTAAGATGCTTATTTGACAAAGGAGCAGCAAATACTCTACATTAAGGTTGTTGTTGTTGTTGTTATGTGCCGTGAAGTCGGTTCCGACTCATAGCAACCCTGTACAGGGTTTCTGAGGCTATAAATCTTTATGGGAGCAGAAAGCCTCATCTTTCTCCTGAGGAACAGCTGGTAGTTTCGAACTGCTGACCTTGTGGTTCCCAGCCCGATTCGTAACCACTACACTACCAGAGCTCCTTCTAGACTCCTAAAAAACAGTAGTTGGACTCCTTTAAAACAGTTACTGTATAAATAGAGAAAGAGTTAATCATAGTGCAGCCAGAAAATAGAGTGTAGTGAATCCAGACAACCCCAAATAGTGTGATTGATTAGGATCTTGCCAGATAATAACCATTATAGGCTGATCACTGCAGGGCCACTTAAACGAAACCAAACCAAACCCACTGTCAGTGAGTTGCACGGGGTTTCTAAGGTTATAAAACTTATCAAGAGCACAAAGTCTCATCTTTCTCCTATAGACCAGCTGGTGGGTTTGAACTGCCAACCTTGAGGTTAGCAGTCCAGTGCACAGTGACAGTACCACTGAAAACTAAAAGCAAAAACCTTGCTCACTAGTACGAAGCTATTCTCTTCCCCAAGCTCCTCTTACATCCCAACCTCAGTTGCCATACAGGCCACCATACTCCCAAGGGAGACTGAAGACCAAAGACACTTGGTACATTTGGGAGAGGTAACTTTGAGGAAAGGAGGGATTTAAATTTTCATGGCTCTGTTAGATACAGGAGCCCAAGTCATGTTCACAATCCTCCTGTGGAGAGAAATGGTATTTGAATTCAGTTACAGAGTCCTGGTGTGGCACCGAGGGTTAATGCACTGGACTGCAAGGTCAACGTGAATTGCAAGGTCGGCAGTTCAAGCTCAACAGCCGCTACTCAGAAACCCTATACAGTGTTGTTATAAGTCAAGACTGACTGGACAGCAACAACAACACACTAAGTATTGAGTAAGATATTCAGAGGGAAGGAAAGCTAATGCAATCTTTTGGTTGAGGCTCTTAAGACTGAATCAGTGTACTATCACTGTGGCATCAGTTGCTCAATGTGTAACTGGTTTTGATATATTACAAGCCATGTACTGTGAATCCTCGTAAGTGCTGGGGGCATTATCCCAATTGGGAAGGGCCAAGCCCCACAATCCTTGACTTTGAGTAAAAGTTTCTTATGATGAATGAACAGCTTAACTGGCAAGA